AAGTGGTTAGTACAAAATCAGCAGGTATTAAAATAGCTATTATTTTGTAGGCTACCATAAGTCATATCCACGTGACAAGACTTCCAGTCATGTTGCCCTAATAGCCCATTATTTAAACTAATGTGGCATATTTGTTAAAGCTATTATTATTATTATTATTATTATTATGATTATGATTATTATTATTATTATTATTATTATTATTATTATCATTATTATTGTCATGATGGTTATTATTATTATATTGTAGCCAATCACAGCAGGGAAGCTCTATACCGTAAACATCTACCAGGACCAGGAGGAGAACAGATGGATGAGGGAGAACAGATGGATGACGGAGAGCAGATGGATGAGGGAAAACAGGGAGATGAGCCAGATGAAAGAAGAAGAAAGATGAGCAAGATAGCGACTTTGCCGTATCCCACAGATCCTTAACATGTTTCAGCGTTTAAAATCAAGGGTGATGATGTGTATTTTTTTTTTTATAATTAAGTGTTCCACGTGCACTAAAAAGTGCCCACCCCCCCTCTCCTGAGCACCTCCCCCCCAAAATGTCTGTGCACGCCTCTGCTCTTCGGCCTGAATATTTTAAAGTTATCCATGACAGACAGGTCAAAGTTTGTAGAATATGCATTCAGCCTGGTCACATCCTCAGAGAATGTCCTGAGTTTTTTTGTAACTCATGTGGAGTCAAGGGGCATTACGCGAGAGAATGCTCTGTTAAAAAGCAGAACAACAAGTGTCAAGTTTGTTGAAATAATCACAATAAATGTATCTGTAACAAAAGTGAGTCTGAAGACGTACTTGGATATAACCTAACGGAATATCTTCAGAACAGCTCCAAATGACACAAAACTCATGGGTGAGTAGAACATGATGTAATAAAGTAAAATCAAGGGCCCAATGTAAAAAAAAAAACAAAACAAAAAAACAATATTCCCCTTTAATTTCACCCATTCATCAAATATGGCATGACTATATCTAAACTGCAATATCATCTTTTGGATTGACTACCATTTTCAATCTATGCTCCATCACAACCCCGGTACAAAGAAAACAGCTAAACCATTTTCATGCTGAAGTCCTTGAATCCTGGTCAGACCATTTTTGACAACAGACATGAAGTACATGAAGTCTCATCTCTTACTGCCAATTTTCAACAATCCTGAAGTGGTCTGCGGGGGCAGGATGCTGTGTTTACCGTCCTGGAGAGAGGTGAGCACTCACACCTTCGGGCAGATATTTTAGAGGAGCAAATATTTTAGTCAAGAAAATTATGATTTCAAAAAGATCTATAAAATATCCAAGCCGCTCTGCCAAACCCAATCATTGATGGGAGGAGACATCAGGGGCTGCAAGATGATGCCCTTAACTTTCTTCTTTCTCTTGGTAATAGGAAACGGCTAATTCAAGAAATAAAGACCAAGATATGGTACAACATTCTCATTTCTCTTATCATGCTGTCACACCCCACTCATAGGAACTGACAAAAATGGGAGACAGATGAGTGGATTGAAATAAACTATAATTAATTTTCTATAAGCTTCTTGTGTTTTGCCTGTGAACACACACTGTAAAAGCAGTGTCCGATCCAGATCATACCAGCCTCTACTATCAGCAACACGCTCAAACAGGGAGAAGAATGTAGCAGGATCACATTGAGAAAACTGAGGAACTAAACGCAGATTACTGCCAACAACAAATGAGCTAGAAGTTTGCCTATAGGAAGCATCAATGGCAACGTGGTCCTCACTAATTGAACTCTATCCACCTGCAGCAAAAGCAGCTTCGGCTTTTGTTCAAAAGTCAAGCTAGCATCAAAAACGTCAGTATCCAACCATGTCCCAGTAGCCTGCAACTTAGCTGGTCCTAACACACCGGAGTCAGTTAGATTAGCTTTAATGCTCTCCTTAGACCGCTTATCACTGACCTCCAATTTAAAATGTTCAGTGATCTTTAACAGTTGTTCATGGGTGCAGTGCTCCAACCCCTCTTGAGACGGATCTCGCAAAAACTCATCAACAGCAGCCATGACACTAACAATTATTCACACAACAACTTAGCTCCAACCCTACCTGTAGCACTCTGAGCTCCCACAATCCCAAAGCAGCCACAGTGTCACAGTGACCCCGTCCCTGTAACTGCCTAACCAGAATCTAACTAATCTCCTCCCTAGTCTTTGGGTGTTTCCATGGTGGGTTTTTATGCACTAACGCCCAAGAGTCCGGAAAAGCAACCAATAACTGGCGACCCCCCTGCAACTCCGGATGTGCTCCCGAGACAACTGCTCTACCCACGTACACACCACACTAAACCCTCCCTCACAACAAACTCCATAAGGGAAGTTGTTGTTGTTAAGCCTAACGAGGACAGAACCACCACGACTTACTACAAATTGTGTGGGAGCATTCACTTAAACTGCTACACAAAAAGACTCTCTTAAAACAGATATATAGTGGCTGCTTTCAGAGATGGGGACTCGAGTTTGTGACTCGTACTCGAGTCGCACTTAAGTCGCATATTTAATGACTTCAGACTCGACTTAGACTTGCATTTAAAAGACTTCAGACTTGACTGAGACTCGTGATTTCTGACTTGTGAACAATATTTTATTCCAGTGTAAAAACACTTATTCAAGTGTTTTTTGTTTTACTAACTTGACTGATCGCCGCTCGCCTTACCCGCACACAGAAGAGGTAAAAAAAAAACATAAAAAAACTCAAAGACCCAAACCGTGAAGCACTCAAGTTCAAGTGTTTTATTTATACAAAAAGCCACAGCAAAAGTGGCATAATAAAACAGTCCTTTTCTTCTCCTGATAAAACCTAAAATTCAAGAGTTTTCCATAAAAATCACAGGCTGGAAGTTGGGCTCCACTTGTTATGCTGCTTCTGGTGCGAGTGATCAGCCTGCAGCACCCACTGGCTGATCCACAGCGGACTCTGCGGCGCCCCGGCACTGTTCCACCCCTGGTGTGCCACACCCCTTTCCAGACCGATCCAGCTAAAAAGAGAAGCAAGGAGAACGCCAGCATCCACGCGCCAAAACCCCGTCGGAAGATATATTCCTGTTTATGCTTTAAGCGAGGGGGAGCGCTACTTACAGGCAGGTTCCTCCTCTGCCCTAATACTCCTTACTGGGCCATCTGTGCACCCTTCTGGCGCACGGATCCCCCGGCAGCGCGTCCGTCTCTGTCACCTGCAGATTCCGTTCTCCTTTCCTTCAGACTCCTTTTATGTCGGCTTTAATCAGCTCTTGCTAACACCTGAGCACAGCAATTACGCAGCGCAATTAATGCACTCCGCCTCCTCAGACAACTACTTCAGTCCAGTGCGCATGGATTGTCACAAGGGAAAAACAAACCAAAACAACCCAACATGCAGGAAAAATTCAAAAGTCTAAAATAAAGGAAAACAATCATATAAAAAAGAAACATCAAAACATGCAAAGCTCAAGAAGAAAATACAAAGAAAAACAAATCATATCTTCCTCTCCAAACATGCAAACATAAAACTAACATTTAAATGAAAGAAAACCATAAATCATATTTTTCCCTGTGCAACACACTGACGTCACTGATGCAACAGTACGTGACAAATATGCCCGTGCGCATGCATGCATGCAACCCATACAGAAGCGATGATTACCCCCCCTGTTTCGGTGCCACCGTTCATAATAACCTTTGGCTACAAAAACTTTACATTAGGCGGGAATAAAAGAGCAGCAAACTGCAGCTTCTTTAGAAAAAAATACACCATGCTTGGTCCACCACATCTAATTTTATCAGCCACAGTGCAGTGCAGGTGTACAGCCAGGGACATCACAGACATAAGGCAATAATTCAGGACCTTATTTTATGCTACCTCCCCTTGTCTTTGATCGACAAGCCCAGCTTTAAAAGTTTCATGGCAGTGGTAGAGGAGAAATATGTTGTGAATAATGTTGTAAATTGGCGCTAAATAAATAAACTGAATTTAATTGAAAATACTGCCCGCCAAGTCATTAAGTTACAAAAAGTTATTGCCACAATGTTTCTTTAATAAAAGTATTGTTATTGTCCTGCTATTTGTTTAGGGTTTTTCTTTATCTCTTGTAGTTGCTAACCTCATATGTATTAATAAAAGGCAGGATTGTGATTGTTTTTTTTCCACAGTCCTCATTTTCACTTAAAAAAAATAAAAGAGCAGACATTTACTGCTAAAACTAGAAAAAGTTGTAACCACAAATGTCAGGTAAATACTGTAAGAAAATGCTAAATTTATCTGGAAAATTTTTTTGCGTGTTTGCTTTTTTTAATTGTATTTTTCATTTAGCAGTTCAAGATAATGATAATTCCATAGATATAATAGCGACCTTTAAGCTATACCATCTCAGTGACGGAGATGAAAACACAAGGAGAAACAAGCAAGCACGAAAATTATTGCACTTTTTTTAATTAATCAAGTGATTAGAATTTTTTGTGCGGTTGATTGATTATTGCAACAGGCCTTCTCAAGACTTGAGACTTGACTTGGACTTGAGCTCTCAAGACTTGAGACTTGACTTGGACTTGCAAAAAATGACTTGTGAACATGTCTGGCTGCTTTACTCGCCAACAAAGCATGCACATCAACGTCCCCCTACAAGCCAGAGTTCATAACTCAAAACACATTACCTGAGAGCTGGTCTCCAATCCGGATTCAAACTGATAAGCCCCCATTTGTCACGCCCCACTCATAGGAACTGACAAAAATGGGATACAGACTAGTGATGGGTCGGGCAACACCGATGGGTCGGCGCATGTGTCTGTCTCATAGAGCGAAACCTGTGTCGACGTGTGTATCGCTACGGAAAAGTCACGTGACCGAAACAGTTCCTGTATCGGTCACGTGACCGATGTTTCGAACTGATTGACAAGCCTTTATAAGGATGCGCATCTGCCAAAACAATCTTGCGTGTTTTGCGAATATAAAATTCATCAAAAATGATGGAGCTTCCTCAAGCAAAAAGAAAGGTTTCTCCCGTGTGGGACCACTTTGATGTCATTTCGGAAAATAAGGTATTTGTTTTAATGTCCTTGTTTCATCCTGTTCCTCTCAGAGTTTCCACTTGATTCATGTACTAAAATACTATTTTTTTTTTTAAGATGACCTTTGGGAACATTTTGATCTCGAAGTGGGGAGGCAGACCAAAAGTGCCACAGCTGATGCCATCCTTGAGGTGCAGAGATACATGGCAGAGGGCAATATTGCGAGGTCCCAGGATCCTCTTGTATATTGGAAAAACTAAAGGACGGTTTATCCAAACCTCTTCCGCCTGGCCTTAAAATTGTTGTGCACTCCAGCTTCATCTGTGCCGTGTGAGCGGGTGTTTTCCACAGCTGGAGAACTAATATCAAAAAAGCGCAACAGACTGAATTTCAAAACTTATTTTTTTTTTTAATAAAAATTTGTAAAAAAAAAAAAAAAAAAAATACCAGTGAACAAGCATCTTCATTTACTACATGTTTACTTAGACCTAGACTTAGACTTGACTTTATTAATCCCTTGGGATTACTCCCTTCGGGAAATTGTATTTCCAGTAGCAGGAAAAATTGCACATACAAGAAAATAGAGGATGTTTAGACACAGTATATACAATAGAAAAATAAAATCAATTAAATAAGGTGTAGGAAGATGTATTGGGGGATGAGGATAGACAAATACAGATTAGAGATTATTAAATTATGATGCAGGTTCTCATTATTCATTGACTGTGTCTAAAATATCAAATATGTTTTAATAATAATACAATGCATCATACAATGAATTGCATCATATTAGTGAATATAATAGGTCATCAAATCAGTGTCAGTTAACTCTGTCAACTAGGTTGCCTGTAGGGATTTTTAATGTCCAGCAGGTGTCAGTATTCAGTGACACAGTATCGACACAGTATCAATACAGTTTGGTAATGTGTCGAAACGTTTCATGACGCCTCATCAACCCATCACTAATACAGACGAGCGGATTCCAATAAACAGTAATTGATATTCTCCCAATTATGTAATTGAAGAGCTGCTCAGCCAGTCAAAGAGAAATGTGGATCAAAGCTGCCTGATCTGGTCTGGTCTGGAGGCCAAATCAAGCAGGGACAGTGGCTAACTGGATATCAGCATTTAACAGCCATCAGGTGCTTTCAATTAGCAGCCCCTCTACCTGCTTCCTGAAAAGAACAAAACCAAACAGTGAGATGGCAACACCTACTGGACAGCAGGGGATCGTCACAATACAAGCACCAACATCCCACAAGAAATGGCTGCAAATGTTTTCAAACAAAATAGTTGAACAGATCTGGTCAAACCTACCTGACAAGTTCAATTCAAAACAAGCAAACAATACGGATTTTCTATTAAGACACAGGAGGGTTTTTACGGGCGTCATCCTGCACCAAATCAACAAAGAAAAGTTCGGCAGAGATTGCACCGTTTGTCTCTCAGACCCCGAGATGCTTGAACACCTGTTCCTCCGCTGCCCTGGCTGCAGCATCTTTTGGGAGAAGGTTGGTGAATTCATGGAAAGTTTGGAACCAGGCATCAGCAAAGGAAACAAAGAGTGAGAATGGATAAGACTATTTGGAACAGGGGATGGAAGACAACATTCTTTTCATCTGCACATCTTAAGCAATATGATCCTTTCCCTTGCAAGACACTCAATATACATTTGCAGAAACTATAAACTTTTTGAAAATATCTCTGGACTGCTGGAAACTGTGTTTAGGACTTTTTCAAAACCACAGCAAAACTCTCAAAAGCTTTGATAATGTACTTTCTCAGGACATATTTGGACTGCTCAGAAAATGCAAAGATTTTCAAGACTGGACAACTTGATGGATTGGAGTGCATAAACATACATTTTTTCTCTGTAAATAATTGAGAGGGAAAGTATCTTTGTTGAAATGGTTTTGTAATACGTTTTTGTGGTTTTTGTCTGGCTTTCCTGTAAATGAATGACAATGTTTTATTGTCCTTTTTGCTCACTGTATACATTTGCACCTATTCTTTTAAATTGATTTTTTTCTAATAAAAAAAAAACAAAAAAAACAAAACAAAAAACAAATTAAGGAGTCTATTTTTAGAATGCAAGGATTAGAAAGTAAAGATAATAAATAAAAACATTTCAAGAGTAGAAGCAAAAAGTGGTCCTGTAATAGCCCAACTTTCTACATAAGAAAGGTAAAAAAAAGTATTTGTACTTCGATACTTGACACCTGTGCAAGCGTGCAGGGATGAGTGCAAATGCAGCAAGAAAATGTCAAGCACTCAGTTTAGGCAAGAACGGCTCAGGCTTTGTCCCACAGCACAAGTCCATCTCCAGAATCAAGAGATGTGTTCCAAAGCAGCAGGTGAAAACAACCAGCTGTACAAGTAGGCTGGCTGACTGAACCCAAGCAGCTTACGGCCATACCACCCTGAACACGCCCGATCTCGTCTGATCTCGGAAGCTAAGCAGGGTCGGGCCTGGTTAGTACTTGGATGGGAGATCGCCTGGGAATGGCTCATGACCCCCCCAAGTACTTATTCTTGATCCTGGAGTTGAGCAAAAACCTGGGTCTGATCATTTCACACCTCTGCCACCTGCTGGCCAGGTCGAGGAACAGTGCTTTTTCATTTGAAAGAATTTTGCTCCTTTTTTCTTAGGTCAACACTGTTTTCTGATTACTTCTTTATGTATTTCACTAAGAGGAGACACTTTAAAACATAAAGATTTGTATTATTAATTGCAAATATCAATGTGAAAAGGTTACATACATCTGTTACAATATTTATTTACTATAAATATTCATATAGAATTTAATATATATAAAACTTAGATAATCTGAAGACTAAAAAAAAACTGTTTGCTTGGAAAATATTATACAACTTGCATAAAAAATACAAATACAAAACATTGAAACATTGAACAAATATTTATTAATATACGGATAGAACAATATACATAAATTATTTACACATAGCAAATTATTTAAATACAAACATACGAAACATCTAATAAATATCTAATAATATGTAGACTAAAACATTACAATGAGATATTACATATGCAAAATATTATAAATACAAAGCTATAAATATAATAAATAAAAATATTGAGGGAAAAAACTTTAGACAAATATGACAAATGTGTTCATCTAAATGACAAACAATTTACATCTAGCAAATATAAATACTAAGTTATTAGACATCTAAAAAACTTAAATAATAAAGAGGAAAACAAATGAAAAATAATTTACATGTAGTTAAATATTATAAATAAGAAGCTATAAAACATTTGTAGAAAAAATGGATAGGATACTTATATGACAAATTATAAATACATAGCTAAAAACATCTAAGAAATATTAAATATAGAGTAAAATAAATAAAAAATTATTTACATATTGCAATTATAATGAAAACAAAGCTGTAAAACAACAAAGAGTCAATATTTTAGTCTATCAGATGGAGCATCTTAACGAGCAGGTAGAGCAGACGGCTGTCCTGTCACCTGTGCAGCCTGCGGGTGCCTCATCCAGCCAAACTTTGTCTTTTGAGCGGCGGAGTTCTCGGGGGTCTCCGGCCCCAGGCATCGGCCAAAGAGGGTGTAGCCCCACCTGGACTCGTACTTCTTCACAAAGTTGGTGGCAGTCTTGTCATGCTCGTGGAGAGAGCCAGCGGTGACAATCTTCTGCCGGAGGGCGACCGGCATGAGGTGGTGGTGGTCGCTGTCATCCGTCAGCTCCAGCAGCAGCACGGCCAGGGCCTCCACCTCCACGATGCCAGGAAGGTGCAGATGCCGCTGGCTCATGAGCACGTCCTGCAGAGCTGGGCTGTCCTCCTCCTTCACCTCCACTGCCTGGGTGAGGACGGCGTGCTGCTTGCAGACGCCGTCTATGGGGTCCTCCTCCTCCATGGCCACACCCTCATCCAGCAGCTCCTCCTCCTCCATCCTCTCATTAGCTGCTGCAGAGTCCTCTTCCTCCTCCTGATGGGACTGCTCGTCTTCCGCTGCAAACATAGCATTACTGTGATGATGAGTCCCACGTGCCGAAGCAGTTAGGAGAGGTGAGATTGCTTCCTTGTGTGTGTGTGTGTGTGATTAAATATGCCTTACCTTTCTGGGCGTAGTACTGCCTTGCAGTGAAGGCAGTGGACTGGCACAGGGCGTACTCCACCCCAAGCAGCTCCTCCTCCTCTGGGTCCTGGTACTGCTCAGGGTATGGAAGGAGAGCAGCAAAGTTGGGCTCCGGCACGTGCTCCTTGCCAAAGAGAACCTCAGCCTGCTGGTTCATGCGCTGGATCTGCCGGGGGTCCATGCACGTCGTCTGCCGTCCCTGACTACCAGCAACCCGGAGGGCCTCCATGCGGGTGTTCCACTGCACGGTAAATGCAATGAGGTACACCTGAAACACAAACATGTTTGATGAGTTGCTGCATGTGATAAATGGTTTTAAAAAACACTGAACATTTGCTTGTTTCCTTTTTTAAACTCACTTGGAATGGCATGATCCCGCATCTCTTGGAGGGGATGGCGTTGTACAGGTGTGCATGCAGCCCCTCCAGACAGTTGCTGCCACGCCGGCACCTGTACTTGTTCAGCTGCACGCCATTCAGCACCACCGTCTTCACAGCCACACACAGCTGGATGCCAGGGGGATCCTGGAAAACACATAGCATGGCTCTTAGCCTGGCGTGGTCAGCATGTTGGTCTGGACACATGATGAATGTTAGACACCAACCCACCTGCATGCATCCAAGATGTTTGCTCGCTGTCGCAGAGTGCGAATCCACGGCCTCTGCAGACTTGAAGAGGGGGATGCTGTCTATGTCTAGACCTGCTGGCCCCTTGAAGTCAGCGAGGATGGACTCGATGACAGAGGCGGTCTCCTGGAAGACACAGTGGAGAGCACGGTCACTTCTCCTGATTCTGCACAGATTTCTGAGCTAAATTTATACAATATGGAAAAACTCAGACATGTATGATTACAAATAAAATTGCAATAGATTAGATTAGATAAGTGGAATATTCACATGCTCTGTCAGTGCTGATAGTAAAAAAGAAGCAAAAATGATGAGCTGATGTAATAAAAAGTGCTTTAAATAAAACATTTAGAAATTAACAGGGGCGGATCTAGAAAAATATTTATGGGATGGTGAGAGGGAGGCAGGAATTTCTGAGGTGTGGCAACATATGACATTTGTTTACACTGAATTTAATCACAGTTATCACAGTTTGGTGAGAATAGTAAGTATAGTAAGTGTTTCATGTGAAACAGTTCATATTAGAAATACATCGTACAATGAGATTTCACTTAATAGGAGATAGAAGAATGATAACACTACTTCTAGAGGGGCATTATCACAGGAAAGGTATTAAGACACAGGTGCTGAGTCGCAGATGTGTGAGATTGATTGTCAGAGAGGCAGCTTTGCAGCATTTGCACAAGAAGAAACTATAGAAAGAAAAACGTACCCATCAGAGATCCAGCAGGATGCCGGCAGAGGCAGAGGGAAGCTGTTGGGACGCCGCCGCCGGCTGGCTGCTGGATGGAGCCAGCTCTCCCACGGTGGTGAGCTGGGTGGAGACCGACACCTCCGACTCATCCAGGAGACTTTCTGCAAAACACAAGACACAGACAGAAAAGGCATGACATTAAGTAGATTGCTTGAAATGTGATGTGATAATAAATTCAGCATATCACAAAGATACAACACAGCATGTCTCATGTTCACATCAGCATGAAATATTACCGGCAGCAGCCAACAGCTCTGCATCACTGGCGTAGTAAGGGTCATGCTGGAGCTGGGAGGTGGAGGCAGATGGAGCTGCTATGTTTTTATGGGGAAAATACTTAGAGTAAGATGGTGCACGATGCTCACACACAACTTAGCTATGAACGACACCTGTGTGGACTAAAAACATGAGCATACCTTCATCTTCCTGTCCAGGTGGCAGGTGACAGAAGGGAAGTCTTGCACATACTCCAGCATGCGCTCCTTTTGCCACTTCAGCTGCTCGCTCCTCTCACCCTTCTGGCGATACTCGGCCAGCAGCCACACAACCCAGCCAACATCGTTCTCCAGCAGCCATCGGAAAGATTGTCCGGCGTATTAACCGAAGCTGATGACCAGCTGGCCTCTCCACAGCTCCCCGCTGGTCTTCTTTGCAGCTGCCTCTGCCTGTTGGGGATCCAGCCAGGTCCGGTCCACCACCTTGCTTGATGCCTGTGCCACAGCCGTGGCTGCATCGCTGCACTGCAGCCGTGCCTGGCCCTGCTTGTACAGAGGGATGCTGAGGTACTGGTGGGTCTTCATGTGGCTGCACAACAGGGGCTTGGTGCTGAAGACCTTCCCACACACGCTGCAGTTGTGCTCCTTCGGACCGTGAAGCTTCATGTGCCGCGTCAGGTTCGACTTCTCAGTGAACCTTTTGTGGCACACATCGCATTCATGGATTTTCCTGTCCATCGCTGTCGTCGTAACCTAGAACAAAACATGGAAAATATAGATTAGGATTTAAGACTGGCAGCCATTTACTACACAACACACACACACACAGATCTCTACGGGTGAGCGGTGCAGTCAGGTGATTCAACTTCATAGTTTTAATATTGTCATATGGATATCTTTGCAGAATAACCACTGTCACATGTGTTTAGATGTGCAGCGATCCATTATAAGAAACTAGACAGGCTTCAGGACAGGAAACATACATGTTGTACAGATATCACAGCAGTCTGAAGACCAATAGTCGCTCATCTTTTACCTTAAACTGTCCTCTGTTAGTTACAGTTGGTTTATGACATTTATGCACTATTTTTGCACACCACGTAACCCTTTATTTGGATTTATCACTTTAGTTGGATATTCACTTTATTCGGATTTAGTTTTTACATATGCATAGATATACATACATATTTGATCTCTTTCTATTCTTATTTTTTATCTTTATTTTATTGTGTAGTTGGATGCGTGTATATATATATATAAAACTGTAACTGATGCGTGTAACAAAAGTAATTTCCCTCTGGGATTATTAAAGTATTTCTGATTCTGATTTTCAGTTTGTAAATAATCCATCATGAGAGGATTTGGGGCAGGAACATCTCACACACAGCTGGTAGCCGTCTAGTTTCAGGAAGAACACTCCTATTCAACCGGTGAACAGGTTGTGCATGTGGAGTCGATTTGAGATGTTATGAACTAATACTTGGTAACTTTTTACTTTATTAGTTCATTTACAAGTACTCTAAATATTAAAATATTATGTAATACACACAAATCATAGTTAATACATAAATGTACAATAATAATGAATATGAAATGATGAATTTAAAAATAGTTGGTTTTGAAAAGGATTAAAATGAATGTACTTATTGCTAATATCATAAATACAAAGCCATAATACATGTAACAAATATTTGCATTTGTCATATTTGCACCATGTAATTTATTTTAAAAGTATATTTTCCCTAGTTGTATATTTTCAAAGATATATTTCATAATATATAGGCAGTACATAAAGCCACGGAACAAATGAAGAGACCACTGCTGTCATGAAGAATGATGGTTATATATTGTAATGGCAGATATCAGTCTTTAAATTAAAAACTTATGAGCTATTACTGTTGTTATCATGATATTTGTACAGAAAAATGAACTTTTAATTCTACCAGGCATTAAAACAACCAATCCAGGGCTGCTCTCTTCATTTTTCCCATACTGTATATTAATAGTTCAGTCGGGCAGCTGTTCTCCATCACTGGAGAGGGGGAGTGTCGCCACATTGCAAGATCACAACGTATTACCCTTGTTTAGAAATATCCCGTCATGTTATGAACTAATACTTCATGACAGCTTCGGGACAAATGTCAGAAAATGATGGAAAGTTTGTTTGACTTCATCGAGACGGCAGAAAGAAAAAAAAAAAAGAAGGAAAAAGGCTTCATATTAACTGAAGCCTTGTTTGTCAAAATCGGGAAATATTTGTGAAACTTAAAAGCTCGGTTTAGAAAAAGAATGAATTATAAATTAATTACTTTAGATCTGTAAGGGTATATCGCTAGATTAAACGGAAGAAAGAAGAAGAGAAAAGCATCTTACCTCCATAGTAGTTTATCTCTGGCATGAATGAACGGCCCGGCGAAGGAGGCTGCTGATTGGTCCGTTGAGCAGGATCCTCGCTCAGTGATTGGTCTGTTGAGCGCTGAACGCTGCTCAACCATTGGTCTGTTGAGCAGCGGATAGCTACTTGGGAGAACAGTCGCCTGGGAATACCAGGTGCTGTAAGCTTTTTGGCCAGCAGGAGCTGCTCTCGTTGCAGCACCCTGTCGCCTTTCAGCAAGCGTCTACTTTTGCCTTTCAGTCCTCTTTAAGGCCACAACAAAGCCAACGTTTCGCTGGAAACCAGCAGGCAAAGAGGCACACACAAAACTTGACATTTTATTAAGTCCATTTTACAGTTTTTCTTCTTTTTCCCCCTTGGTCGACTCTGTCTCCACTGAAATATTCCACAAAACAAGCAAACAGCAAGCAGCAAAACAGTCTTGTTGGAATGGATAGGCAGGATCTGAGTAGTTCACTGGGAGAGCATCAGGTCAGAGTAGCTGAATGTACTTGACATTCATTTGAGTTTCTTCCTTGTCTTTTTGGCTGTTATAATTTTACTCCCATCACTAGCATGCAGAGGTGTGAAAAGTGCCAATGTTTATTACTGTCGAGTTAAAAAAATATGAGCGCTGAGAGTTGATATATAGGAAGAAAAGGTTTTATTTTACTCTGCAGAGGAGAACCCACGACCAGCCTAAATGCAGTTCAGTGATGTTCTGAGGCTGCAACATTTTCACCCCTACATGAAAAGGGGACTACACACACACATTTAGCTCTTCAAAGGACAGAGATAACATTTGTTTCCCATTAACACCAGGACGAGAGAATCCTGACTTCCTTTCAAACCTCCTTCCACTTACAAACAGGCCAAACAAAATACCATTCCACATTACTCAAGCAGAAATACAAATCCTACTGTTTAAAAATACTCTTCTAGGAGTAGGGATGGGAATCGAAAACCGGTTCCTGGTCAGAACCGGTTCCGTGTGTTCCAATTCCATGGCACCGTTGGGCAGCTCACTTAACGGTTCTTTGAACGGTTCCAGGCAGCACCAGTCTAGCGCTGGGCAGCATGACCTATGTCACCTTTTCTACGTAAGTTAAGTCAGGGTTTTTAAGCAACTTACGCACACGGCATTCAGTAAGCAAGTACGTAGGCGTTATTCTAGAAAAGCAAAACAAAAAAAATACCGTCCCATCGGGTAAAGCGATCAAAAGATTGGTTGTAAAGTGGCATACATTTTAACGAAGGCCGTGTTTTTGATGCTTCCGGACAGAAGCTAAAGTTACGACCAGCATGGAAGGCAACTCTGGTGCTAAGTAGCTAGTTTTATATCACTGGCTGTGCTTAATGTGGTTCCTGGTTAATCATATGCCATTTCTGGAAATAAACCAATTTCCTACCTCTCTTTGGGGTTATTAAACATGCTACGAAGTTGCTTCGCAGTTCAGGGAGCGAGAGAAAGGTGACGCTCATTTATTTAAATCAGGGAAAGAAGTGTTTATTTCCCAAAATTGTACAGTGATGTTTTTTCATTAAACGGATGCCTTCTCCATTAGATTTAGTTGACTGTGATGAGAAGGGTATCCTGGCTGGCTCAGAGGCTGGCAGCTCCCGTTCACTGCCTTCCGTTTTCGCTGAGGCAGGGAGAATTAGAATGTGGAGATGCAGGCCCCAGGGGAACCAGATCTCCAGAACCATCAAGGATAGGTCAGAACCTTTTAGAACCAAACTGCTGCAAAACAGACTTTTTGCAACACATTTCTCTTGAGTTTCAGAACTTACAGGGCCAGACTGGAGAAAAGGCCTACCCTGTCTTGATGAATGACTGAGACAAAGAGGACCCATGCTGTGTGCCACTGAGACAAAGAACCCCTGCTGTGCCCTGACTGTAGAGCTTGTCCCACAGCACAAGTCCATCTCCAGAATCAAGAGATGTGCTCCAAAGCAGCAGGTGAAAACAACCAGCTGTACAATTAGGCTGGCTGACTGATCTCAAGCGGCTTACGGCCATACCACCCTGAACACGCCCGATCTCGTCTGATCTCGGAAGCTAAGCAGGGTCGGGCCTGGTTAGTACTTGGATGGGAGACCGCCTGGGAATACCAGGTGCTGTAAGCTTTTTGGCCAGCAGGAGCTGCTCTTGCTGCAGCACCCTGTCACCTTTCAGCAAGCGTTTACTTTTGCCTTTCAATCCTCTTTAAGGCCACAACAAAGCCAATGTTTGGCTGGAAACCAGCAGGCAAAGAGGCACACACAAAAGTTGCAATTTTATTAGGTCCATTTTACAGTTTTTCTTCTTTTTCCCCCTTGGTCGACTCTGTCTCCACTGAAATATTCCACAAAACAAGCAAACAGCAAGCAGCAAAACAGTCTTGTTGGAATGGATAGGCAGGATCTGAGTAGTTCACTGGGAGAGCATCAGGTCAGAGTAGCTGAATGTACTTGACATTCATTTGAGTTTCTTCCTTGTCTTTTTGGCTGTTATAATTTTACTCCCATCACTAGCATGCAGAGTAGTGAAAAGTGCCAATGTTTATTACTGTCGAGTTAAAAAAATATGAGCGCTGAGAGTTGATATATAGGAAGAAAAGGTTTTATTTTACTCTGCAGAGGAGAACCCACGACCAGCCTA